AATCCACTTTGCGGCTGATTTTGGCCCCATAAGTATGCGACGCTTTCTGCATTTCGTTTTTCTGGCTATTTTTCTACCGTCTTTTTATTTTTTTTATTTTATTTTTTTTGGCAACGCAAAGCAAACATCACGAAGTCAGCTCAACTCAAGGGCGGAAAGAATTACAACGGAACACCTAGTGCAGCTTAGAAGTCGAAACACTTGCACACCTTACACACATGCACACACACACACACACACAAGCACACAAGACACACCCACAACGTGTACCATGTTGTCAGTGGTTTGGAATTCAATAAAATTCCATGTTGCATCTGTAGAATATATGTACGTTCTTGTCTACACACATATATAGTATTTTATATGTCCTGGAAATGAAAATGAATCGTAAGAGCAATGTCCTTCAGGTAATACATGTAATGGATGTAATGTGAATGGTGATCACAATACTCGATTTATAAATGCATTATAAACTCAAAAGTAAAAGTAACATGAGTATTTTGTTTTTCAACCATTGTAAATATAATTGACATATTTATTTTAAAAATAGTTAAAATTCTACAGACAGTGAAAATTCTCAACTTCAAATTCATCGTTACTGACGTTGCTCTAAACAGGTTTCCTAGTATTTAAACTAAATATTTTTTAAGTTTAAACAAATTGTCAGTTATCAAATTATAGTTAAGGTATTGTTTACTCTGCTCTAAGTATTCGAATCTAGAGTAGAGAAATGTCTTTTAAATCACCACTTGCCCTTATCTACATAAAAATCAAAGTGAAACTTAAATTTAAAGTAATATATTAAAAATACAAACATATATTGCGGAAACTAATATGGAAATAAAACAGTTGTAGAATTGCTTTGGAATTACTTATTTAGACTAAGAGCAATTCAGAACAATGGTGAAAAGCATAAGAGATGCCAAGGGTGGGGATCGGAACTCTTCACAAGTGACGAAAGCAGCAAACGAGAGACGCACACACACCAAAACACACACACACACACATACATCTGCAGTCCAGTTGAATGCAACTACTTAGATACTTGTTGCAATTGTGCTGGTCTTGTTGTTGTTGTCAGTATCAGTCACTGATGTTTGCTGATTGTTAGTGCTGGATGCGGGGTGCGAGCAGATGATGGAAAATTATTTTATGTTGAGCTCGGAGCGTTTGCAGCAGCTACAAGCATGGCACAGCACAGACAGCAAACAATAAAGTTTCATGAATCACAACCAACAGAAGGGTAACTAGTCTACTTGCAGTGTTCCAAGTTGCCAGTTGCTACACCTGAAAAAAAATTAATCTCACAATTTAGAAAATAAACCCTGAAAACAACAACTTTGTTCTGTTTGCTCTATTTTTATTGATAATAGAGGTACATGAGTATATTGTTCTGGAGCAATGTGGTGATGCTTCTTGTCGGGCTGCTCTATTTCTTTCGATAGCCTTGAAGTAGAGCCGTGACACGTGGAATGTGCCCGCGTCACACAAAAACTTTAATATTGACATTAACTTCGACTTCCACATATCTCCCACAAATTTAAAGCTGCAGTCACCAAATTTCGGCAGCGTCCAAGCCTACATCTACCTCCCGGTAACATAAAACAGTTTAAGTTTACAATGCATCAGTCAATGCCGTCAATGGCATTCAAAGATCGGCATATAAACTTATCACTTCGCCCATTAAAGAATTCTATGTAAAAAATTTAATTAAAAAAACTTTAGCTTTGAATTGAGCAATTAAGGACGTTGTATTTTGTGTTTTCTAATATCAGCTCGTCTTTTTCTGAGTGTGGTTGCTTGTTGGAAGCTGCTCTTGCTGTAATTGTTGTTGCCGTAGTTGCATGAAGCTGCTGCACCTGACGTTGCGTTGAACTCATCTCCGTCTGTGCGGCTGCCGGCCATTTCCTTCAGTGAGTGCACTAACTGCCAAGCACACACACACACACACACACACACACACACACACACGCACACGCACACATACACGCACATACACAATAACAATTCTGACAGCAGTTGCAGACGCGTTTCGAATGCAAATCTTTGCAGTTAATGACGCAACTGTGGCGTGTTTGCAAAGTGTTGAAATTGAAATTATACCTTGGGGGCTGCTTGTTGTTGTATTTGTTGTAGTTGTTTTAGGGCATGTTGCTTTTGCCTCTTGTTGCCGTTGGCGGTGCTGTTGCTTCAGCGCATAAAATGCATTCAAGTAAAGTTTTGTAGCAACGAAAGTCGTTTTTTTTTTGCTGCAACACTCAGAACCCTAGCAACAATAATGAATACAAAAAATACACAAACACAACTAACAAAAATAATAAAAGGCATCTGCTTGGCAATTGAAATAACCAGCAACAAAAAACAATAGCCGTTAACCTGGATGAGCGACTAATTGTTGCACATTCAAACCAACCAAAAACTTGTGAATTGGTAAAGCAGTAAAAATAATTACCATAATTAAATTTACCCAGTGAAAATGAGCAATGAAAATTAGCCGACTGCGTAACACTCTGATATAAGTTAGAAACAGTTAATGAAGTGAAGGCCTTGGGATCGTGGGTGTTTTTGTAAGAGTGACTCATTGATCTGAACATGTAATATATTTATGTCATTAAGAAATAAACAAAACATTGTTTTACCTTTTTTTTAACAGGTCCTTTGATTATATTCATAAGATCAAAGTGCATCTTCTGGCTGCGGTGGATCCATCTCACTGATTTAAATATATATAAAATGGATTAAAGATGATTCCGTCTATATGTTCCACATTTCACAATAAAATAACCTGCTACCTCTTTTTTTATTGGCTTTAATGCTATTTTTACAACCAATAATATAATATAATTCAATACAGTTCAATACTGAACATAGAGCAATTTATTGGATCTATCTTAAAATTGTAAGAGACAAGTCAAATTCAGGTGATTTTTAGAACAAAGGGTTCTAAGCTTAAAACTATGTGTAATCAAGTGATGAACTATTAATTCTCAATCTCCGATGAACTCTTGTTTTAATTGTTGTACGTAAGAACATTGCCACATTTCAATTACTTTATGTTTAAGCCAGAATTTTTACAAATGCTTAGAGTGGAAAGGTGGACAGAGGGAAAATGATATCTAAGCACATGCAATCTTTAATCAACTTGCAACATGTGAGGGCCACGGGGGAGTCCACAAGACGCCAACAGCTGTACTTAATTACACGGTGCAGCCAATACACCAAAACTGTGCGCCTCTTTGGGGAAAAGCAAGTTCCCATTGGAGTCATTCACCTTGGCGGCAAATAAAAAAATAAAAAAGAACGCAACGATGAAATCAAATAGTAGAACTGAATACTCGTTTAACATACTCGTAGTTATTATTTCAGCAGGCGTATGCTAACAATATGCTAGCTTATTTCATATTACCACCCATGGCTTCCATGTCTGCGTGTTGTTTATGGCCCAAACGCAGCGGGGGCAGGCGATTTGGGGGATGGTAGGGAGACTTAGAGAAAGCTTCCAATTGAGGTGAATATATCCCAGCGCTAAAAGGCAAACAAAGGGAAATCTTAACATATATGTATTCAGCATATTGCTAGGCATATGTATACACATATGAGCAGACACACATAGACACACACACACACACACACTAACACATGCACACAAACGCTATTGGAATTATAAATTTGAGTGCGAACTTTGGCGGGGGCAATAAGGGAATATTTGCATGCCTTTGTGGACTCTTTCCATATGATTTATGACCCAAATTGTAGGTGCACACACGAGCGTCACATAATTACCCATACACACACACACACATACACACACACACACACAATGTCTCCGCATATGTTTGCCTATGTTTGTGGACGCTTTGGGAGCGCACAAAAGAATGCTACGCTTTTTGTTTTACGTGTTAATAAGTGGCGTGGCAGACAGAACAATACCCGCACTTCTTCCAAATAATAGCTACATAGGTATGCCTGTATATGTGTGAGTGTGTCTCTATTGTAATTCAATTGAATATATTCTCTGTATCTTAGATTTGCTAGTAAAACTTAAAGCTTAATCTGCAACAAATTTAGGATGCGAAACTAAGTTGAATACATATCTTTAACTTTTATAGTTCTATATAAATGACTGGTATACTATAAATGCGCTTTTTATGACCGCATTTCATTTTATATCTTAGATTTATTTCATTTTCACAATTTAATTCAGTTGAATTTTAAATTATATGCAATACTACTAAAGCTTGTCTAACATCCTAAGCGAATTGGCAGCTTCGTAGGGCAAAGAAAACTTTATGTGATCAATAAAGTGTAATTGTTTTTTACATTTTACAATCGAATACGTGATTTGAGACTCCACTCACAACCTCTGACAAAATTAAGCTTAAGCGAAAAAATGAGGGAAAATCAACTCGATATTGCAATATTGCTTAAAAAATGTTTCAATTAACTGTAATTATTATAAAAAAAATATGTATGTTTTTATGCATATTTATTTGTCGAACAATTATACAAAATTACCCAAGTTATTCAAATTTAAACAAATTAAATATGATATATATAATATATTGTCTCTTATATTTGCAAGTCATACCTTAAATTGTTTTTTTTTTATAAATATGTTACACACTTTATTTCCCCACATTCAATCTCGATACATAGTTAACGATAAAATAATGGATTAAATTCCTAATGAAAGAGCAATTTGTTATGTAAGAGTTTGGGTCAAACGACATATGGGTATCAATTAGGAGACAAGCCAAAAAGCAAAGACCAACAAAAGATTACCGTAGATAGATTGAATTGATTCAATCGATGACCTCCGCCCACTTAAGGCGACTAAAATCAATGCAAAACAGTTTGCTCAGCGAATTTCGTTGGCTTGGGGTGCAAGATTAGTGGAATCCACAAAGTAATCCACAAATGCTGATGCAGATATGCAACTAATCCAATTGCTGGCAAGCTGCTAGCATATATAAAGACCAGTGCGAGCAGACACTGATTTTGTCTTGGACAGCGACGGGGCCAGCATGGAGTACAATATCAGCAGTGGCATTATACGGAATGTCACGACCGTGCTGCTACCGGAGGCGCGTCTTGGTGCGGAGGGGAGGCTGCTGGGTTGGAATGTGCCGCCGCATGAGCTGCGTCATATACCCGAACACTGGCTGACATATCCGGAACCGCCAGAGTCGATGAATTATCTCTTGGGCACACTCTACATATTTTTCACTGTGCTCTCAGTTTTGGGCAACGGTTTGGTTATTTGGGTCTTCTCGGCGGCCAAATCGTTGAGAACACCCTCGAATATACTGGTCATCAATTTGGCGATCTGTGATTTCCTGATGATGTCCAAGACTCCAGTTTTTATCTACAACAGCTTCAATCAGGGCTATGCATTGGGCCATCTCGGTTGCCAGATATACGGCATCATTGGCGCCTACACGGGAATCGGAGCGAGTGCGACAAATGCATTCATTGCCTACGATCGCTACAATGTCATCACTCGACCCATGGAGGGCAAGATGACGCACGGGAAGGCGATCGCAATGATAATCTTCATATATATGTATGCGACGCCATTTGTTGTTGCCTGCTACACGGAGACGTGGGGTCGTTTTGTGCCCGAGGGCTATTTGACCTCATGCACATTCGATTATCTGACGGATAACTTCGATACGCGCATGTTTGTCGGCACGATCTTCTTCTTCAGTTTCTTCTGTCCGACCTCAATGATCGTCTACTACTACAGCCAGATTGTGGGCCATGTGTTCAGTCATGAGAAGGCTCTCAGGGCACAGGCCAAGAAGATGAATGTGGAATCGTTGCGCTCGAATGTCGACAAGAACAAGGAGACGGCTGAGATTCGTATCGCCAAGGCGGCCATTACAATTTGTTTCCTGTTCTTTGTGTCCTGGACACCGTATGGCGTTATGTCGCTAATCGGTGCATTCGGGGACAAGAGTCTTCTCACGCCAGGAGCCACAATGATACCGGCCTGCACCTGCAAAATGGTCGCCTGCGTTGATCCCTTTGTGTACGCCATCAGTCATCCCAGATACCGCATGGAGCTTCAGAAGCGTTGTCCCTGGCTCGCCATCAGCGAAAAGGATCCCGAAACTTCCACGGTGGCATCCACGACAACAGCACAGGAACCACAGCAAACGACGGCGGCATAGGAACTTCTTCGAAACTCTGCTTCTGATACTGACGACCCGAACTCGAAATCGAAATTGAACTCGTAATACTGAATGCATGGGAACTTCTATAACAACAAACTCAACTAAAACCAACACAAGAAATGTACTAACAATTATTTTTATGAATATTATGATTTGTAGCGCTCTATTTAAATAAATAGTGATTTAATGCAAGCAATGGAAAGAACAAATGCGATTGATTTACTCTCGACAGTGTCCGATTAAAGTAAGTGAAGTCTGCTAACAGATAATTCTAAAACTAGAAAGAACGATTTTCTTATGCTCGGCGAAGATATCATAATATGTCTCCAGGAATAAGACGGATAAGTACCGAGGTTCATCAAGATTGCGCATATAAAAATGAAATGACCTGGCTCTATTAAATCGGCTCAAGAACGTACGAGTATACGCTTTATGGGATTGGAGACGTATCCTAACATGCCAACTGGTATTACCGGCTTTGCCCGGACCATGGGACTTGAATTTATATGTTATCTAACAGCTATTTACCCACTATTTTGAGGATCTGGTGAAATCTGTTGAAATACATATCGATTTATATTTTACTAAAATTTTTTACCAACTGGTTTTGATTTTTAGACTTAAATTGTACCATCAGCAGTAAACCAGCTAGTGGGACAGAGGTCCTAAATCTTGTCAAAGACTTATCGATTTATATTTTATTACAAGGCTTTAGCAACGGGCTTGGATTTTGAAAAATTAATAAATAATTAATCATTAAAAATCTTTAAAAACTAGCTAAAAAAAAGTACTAAAAATTTCTTAAAATAGTTGATTTTTCAAAATCACTTATTCGAATTGGTGTCAAGATTGGTTCAAAGTATTTTCATAATTTTTAGATACAGATACAAAATGGGTAATTTTTAAAGGGCAAACAAAGCAGAGAAGGCTGCAAGCGAAGCACACGAAAGACGCGAATGCCAAAAATGTTGTGCTAGTTTCTGTTGAGCGCAACAATGCTGCATGCCATCCACAAATACAACCCACAGTGAGCAAAGCTCGCTCGCACTGGAATGCGTGTGCGCAGCACATCGAAACGTTTTGGTAATGGAACAGCATGTGGAACACAAAGAGATGCCTGAAAGTACATAACGGAACTTGTATATCAGCTGTGGCTAAACGCCAACTAAGCAGCTGCCGACTGATAACAGAATGTAGTTTATTTAATGTATGATATAAAATCACAACTTTTATGCTTGCCTTCCACATGTGCTCCACACATTTATCATTTAAGTTAAGCACAAAGAGCCGCTGCACTTAGGACCCACAAAAATATGTGTGTATTGTAACTAGATGTTTATGTCTACGCCTAGATTTAGTTACGCACAGCTTCCACAGTCGCCCACAGGCTGTTTTCATTTTGAACAATTCGGCCTGTTTTTTTTAAGCTCCGCCAAAGTGTTGCGCCGTCTGTTTTGTGTGGCGCCTCATTATTATTGTTGCTCGCACGTTCGCTCGTTTCAGTTACAATTTCAACATCTTCTCTGTTCGCTTTCTGCAGATAGCATTGCGAGTGTCTTTTCCTGCCTGGCTTTGTGGCAAGCCCAGAAGCCGCACAACAACACAACACAAGCGAAAACAGCGAATTTCTGGCGCAGACCATAAGCCAAAATCGTCCGCAGCCGCCGACAATGGCAACAGCAAACGCGAAGCAAAATTAATGAAAATCACCCATCCACAAAAACACATATATATATGTATATATATATGTATATGGACATATATACATATACAAAGCGAGACAATTAAAATGGCAGCCACAAACGTCCTTGCGGTGCACGCGAACTGAGTGACTGCCGCCCGAACTTAACAACAAGAACAAGAACAACAACAGCAAGCGACAAGCATCGTCCCCGGCACATTTGTCTTCCACGAATTTCACTTTCGCACTCATTAATTAAGATAATTAGGCCTTTCACGACGCCTTCAGAGTTCAACGTGCAAAATGGCACCCAACAAAGAACTCGCAAAACTCCAAGGACATTCGAGGCATTCAGTGACAGCTCACCAAGCTGATTGTTCGATGTTCGACGGTTGTTATAGTCCTGCCACCGGCATTGCAATTTTGGATTGCTCGCGTGGGCACTTGAAGCCTTTAATGAGTGTCTTTACCTCGCAGTTGTTGCCTTGTTCTTAAGTCTGATTGTGGCACTTTCCACACACAAACTTGAGCTGTTCCGGCACAGTCGTTCACTTGCCTGTGGTTTACCAAAACCACGTCCTCCCACCGGCAGTTGGCACATTTATGAACTACACTTGGAATTGTATTAGTCTGTAAGACCACAAACAGAAGCTAAAGTACTGTAGAGCCCATCAAAATAGTCTATCTGCATTATTTGCTATTTTAGAAATATGATCGAGGATTGTAAAAATATGAACTAAAGCATTTTATTTCATGATTATTATTTATTTTAGGAATTTTGTTAGTGCAACTATTAATTCTATACCTTTATATTAAATCTAAGTCGGTAAGAAAGATTTCTGATAACATCCTTTAAAGATCAGTAACAAAATTTCAATATTTTCCACAGCTTAAAAGGTTGTTTTATTAGTTACTAGGTTAGTTACTACCACCATAATAAGAATTGCTGATCAAGCTTTTTAAATTTTTATTATTACAAGAACAGTTTTCATTTTATTAAGTCTAAACTGAAAAGTTCTTACACGTTTGAAATTTTTTTTTTCTAAATATAATTAAACATTTTTAAAATAATCTAGCTTATTCTTGTTTATGTGAAACCAACTTATATTATTTTAAAAACCTGTGTCATTTTTCTCAAGTAAAGAACATAGTTAATGAGATAACATAGAACCAATTAAATAGAGAGAAAACTAAATAGATGAAGCAACTGATTAGAAATGAAAGAAAAATCAATTGTTTCTCTCATTTTCTCTCTCTCTCTCTTCCTCTACTTTTATGTCAAGCATAAAATGCAGTAAATTTTCAAATTAAAATCTAGTCAAGCAATCTCGAATAATTGTTATTAATTGAGATTTGCATGATTCGTTGAATATTTTGGTATCTTGCAATTTTGCTCGATTTCCATGTGGCTGGACTTTGATAATGTATTGCATAGCAAGCATCGGTCCTAGTCCTCTGTGTTAATTCTTTAGCATTCTCTGCACTGTTCTGCGCTGTGCCGAGCTGTCCTTTGTCAGGCGTGGCGTATACGAATATTGTGTATACGCCCGCCAGTCCCTCGTTAATTGCAATGTTTGTCATTTGCCTGTCAATTTGCATTTAAATTACAAAATTTAAACGCTTTTTTCTGTCGCTGTTGTTGTTATTTTTGTTGTTGTGCTTGTTATTATTGCCAAGTGCGTTGTGTCCCCACACTTAACGACCAGCAAGAGCCACATCCCAAGGAGGCATGAGCAAAAGGTGGAAGCGTCAACCCATTTGTCATAGCGACCACAAGCAGATGACAAGTCACTTAGATGATATATAGGCTAGAGTTGAGCAATATTAACACATTTGCGACTGACAAATAACGTTTCACACTGCAGCTAAAAATGATAACAGCTTCACAGTCACCGTTTCTATGTGTCCATTTCTAGAAGAAATGGTTAAAATTTCCTGAAATCTCTTATTATTGTTATAATTTATGATTTGATTGGATTTCAACTTTTATCTCTAAAAATTTAACGGTTATAATTTTAAATTTTTGTTAAGGTTTTTATTTTATTTAATTATTATTATATTATGCTTTATTTCAATATGTTAATTTTTATTCTAAAATTTATTTCTATTTTACTTTTAGTATTAATTACTTTTAATCACAGTCTCTGAGTATAACAAGGTGACTAAACAGTACCTGATATAGTTCAGCCACTTTGACATATGCCATTTCATGTCACGGTCACACACACACTCACACACACTTATGCTCACACAAACACGTATGTATTTTTATACAAAGGCCGAGACAGAGGCTTAACCCAATCTTTTGTTTAATGCTGGCACGTTGGTCGTTGGCTGGATATAATTCTCAATGAGCATGGCCAGGGTCGGGAAACGTTTTCGGCTAATTTTGTTGCAAATTGCTGGACTGTAAAAAAGAGGCAACGAAATTGCCGTGTTGCTGCCTGACCTCGAACTTTGCTCTCTGAAGCGGACGCGAGATGTTGGGAGCTGTTTGCCGTTTAATTAAAGCGACGCCCACAGCGAACCACCCAACCACCCAGAACATACCAACCCACACCACAAACAGTCCATCCTCCAGGCAAGCCCTGGTGCTCTTCCGCTCGGGCCCCGCCCCGCATTCGGTGCGTGTTGACCTTATTATGTTAACTTTGTGTGCAGTGCATAAACTGTGATAAAAATCGCATATTCTACGCAGCGTTGCCTGCCCCACGTTACTTGCCCCTTTTTAAATGTCTATAATTTATGTTGGCCGTTAAACTCGCTGGCTGCCTGGCTTTGCTTTGCTTGGCTTTTGCTTGAGTTTGGTTACAACAATTTGATGGCATATAATTATTAGTTCGTATAATTTATGGCTTCATCTTGGCTTACAAAGTTGCGCCAGCTGAGCCAGGTCCTGCATTTCATATATATATATATACAAATATATATATATACATAATCTATAGCTCCTGGCAACGCTCCACTGATTTATAACTAATTTCGCTGGCATTTTTATGAGCTATCAAAAATGCAGCTGCTTTGGATTTTAATAAACAGCAGCGATATGCAATATGCATTCAATCAAAATTCGCTTTGCTCTAAACCAAATGAAGTTTAAAGTTCATAAATTGATACATACAAAATTGTAGTAAGCTATTTATATTCTAAATTGATACTTATAATTTTGGTTAGCGGAAGATACTGAATATTTTTAATCGAGTAATTTATTTTTAATATCAAAAGCAAAGCTTAATTTGTAGATGATGTTAACGGCTTGTGAGCTTATATATATTCCAAGCAGGTGTAAATACAATATTAAAAATTTAGTTATTTCTTATTTTCAGTGCAAAATATTAGCTAATGTGTTATGGGTTGTGCCTGAGATTTTAATAACAATATTAGTTTTGTACTGCACTAAAACATTTATTGAAAAAAGTATACGTTTTGGAAATTTAAGTTCTAAATTAGATAGACTTAAATATGTCGTCAGGTTCAAACTCCATATTTCCCCCTGAAGATGAATCCCGAAGAGATTCAAAATATATT